GAACGGTCCGCCGGCTCCCCCCCCAACCCATGGCCCACCCACCCATCCTACCTTTCTAGGGCCCGTTGTATTCCTCCTCAACGGGCTTTACGGCTAGTAGCAATATAATGCTGTAGTGTTGTAATGATAGTTTAAACAGGTTCTCTGAATTCTCAGCTTTCGGTTTGTTTGTTTTAAACCCTTCTCTTGCAGAAGTAGGCCTTTCCCCCTATATCTCCATGAGGGAAGAGGCTAGACTTAGGTTTTTTGTTGTTGTTGTTGTTTTTATGAAAGCTGGGAATTCAGAGAACCTGCTTAAACTATCGTTACAACACTACTGCATTATATCAATATTTATAGACTTAAAAAAACCCTCTGAAATCTCTCATCTTGGGAGGGGGGAGAGAGGGTGGTTTAACAATGGGCTGTAAGTGGGTGGGATAAAGAAAACCAATAGAAAAATTATGCTCCAGGAAAAAGATGACTCAAAATTGGTTTCCCCCCCCCCCCAAAAAAAAATCAGAGTAAAAGTAGTTACAAAGGAACAGGAAAAAGAAGAAGTGAAAACTAAACACACAAACCTGCAGTCAAGAGTCAGGGGATAAAACAAAACAGTATGGAGTCAGAACTGATGAAAAAACACATTGTGGAAAAGCCCAAAGTGAGTGACTGCATTTATGCCAGTCCTATTTTAGCAACCTTCAGCTGCGCAATCCACATCCTCTCCACCCCTAAACACTGATGTTTTCTCCATCCTGATTTTGGAGGGTGGCCTCTTTTAGTCAGGAGATTTCACAGTCTTTCCTGTTCTTCTTGTCCCCCCCCACCCTCGTGCGCAAGTGTAAACCTATGCCTGTTATCTTTGTTCTTCTTTGGTGGTGATGTGACAAACCACCTGGCAAACTGTGTCCCAGAACTGGGATGTTGTTCCCCCCCAAGGATTAGCAGCCTCAAGGGTGGAATCTGATTTCTCACAGGATTACATCTGAATTCCAAACTACCAAGAACAGTTCCCATGGAGGAAATGGCAGCTTTGGAGGGCAGACTCAGCATAACATCGAGAAATGGAAGTCCTAGAGGGACATCACATACCTGCTGAGCCTTCTCTCCTCCCTAAACTGCTGTCTCTGGGCAATGCCCCCAAGTCTCCAGGAATTTCCCAAGCCAGAGTTGGCAACCCTACTCTCCCCTTGGCCAGGTTAATGAAGACAACCTATGCTGCCATTTGAATGATTTGATCATGACCAACTTTTTAAAGCTGTTTGGCCTTTATCAGGATTTTATCTGTTATTTATATTTTTCTAGAGTTTTAAAAATTATTTTTATTAAACAGTTAGAAATACTATTACAAAAATAAGGTGAATTGTATAAAAACGTAACATAGAAAACAGTGCTGATCTAATGCTGGAGTCAACAAGTCTACATGTAGCTAATACTTTAAAATGCATGCAGTAGAGCTACATCCATAACTAAGGATAAAAAGTATTTGCAACAGTGGATATAATTTATCAGTGATGTTTATTAATGCTTATCTCTCTTTGGGTTGTTTGCTACTCTTTATGTATCTGATATGGCTGTATGTATTTTTTGCATTTTATGCTGGTTTTATTGATTAATAGCTATTTATGCTTTTTATTATTTTATCCTTTTATTGTTCTGCTGACATAATGTTTCATACTTTTGTGATTGTTTTTACTTTGGTTTTAGATTAATTTTTTTTGGAGAGGTAGTTAAGAAATAATCTAAACAAGTAAAGTATATTCATATATTCTGTTGGTAGACAATAGCAAAGTATTGACTGCTGTAGTTTTATATCTTCTGTCTTTCAAAGTAGTAAGGTAGATACAGGATTTAGTCCTGGACATGGTTGCTAGGAGGGCTCAGTTATTTCCCCTCTGGGGCTAATTTCAGTCAGGGAGAACCATGTAACTGACACTGGGGAAAGTGTTAGCTCCAAGCTAAGCAGTCTCTCAAGGCACAATCCAGAAGACTCTAGAAATACTACCTCCTTGAACTAGATGAGAGGAGTCACCATCTGACAAGATGTTGACCTCCCATGATCAAAAATGTATTGGAACTAGATGGGGTTTCTTGGGGATGTATACAGAAGAAAGACATTTAATCCTGTTGTCTTTCAAAACTCTCCCCATTGGGGAGAAAGGCAGAATATACACAAAGTAAATTTTGAAAAATTAAGAATAAATATGCCATTAAGACACTTGCTTAAAGTTTTGTTTGCAGTCATGAGGACTAGACACTTGCTTTATTTTAAAATCAATTTAAAATGTTCTATTTCAGCTTCAGAAGCTTGCAGCAACAGGGCATAATGCAGTGGCAACATACAGAAAAGCTGTCTGTAATATGCACATTTGTATTTTTCTTCCTCAGGTGGCAGAATGCTACGACTGATGCAGGTGAATGTAGAAGATGCAGGACAGTATACCTGTGTGGTGACTAATGTTGCAGGAGAAGAGAGGAAAAACTTTGCTCTTTCAGTTTTAGGTGAATGTGTAAGAACTCTTGAAAATACCAAACAACCTTAGGATTTCCCCTCCTAAAAGTCATGAACAGCTTTGTGTTCAAAATTCAAGCCCACTTCAAAACTGGGGGAACCTGAGGAGAACCTCTGCATTTAGGGGACAGTGGACAAGTCACCAGTGAGCGAATCAGCAGTGAATGAACTTCAGTCTTCTGGTGTGCCATGCCATGTAACCATAATGATAACCGGGTTGGGAGAATTTAGCTGGCAGCAGAGAACATCTGTAGGCACACACGGCAGCAGCTGTATTTATAAAAGAGAAAACAGCAGTTTCACATCCCTTCCTTCCTGCCAATTTCTGAAGTTTTAAAAACTTTTACTCCAATGTGTAGTTTGACCAAATCATCTAGCTGACATAAATATCAACATTCCATTGACAAAAAAATAATCCAGACTCCTGGGCAAACTGTAATGTTTAGTGGTATTTTCATGGTGTTTTTTTTTAATTAGGTGTGATTTCATTATGCTGTGGGAATTATCTGGCAAAAAAATTCTGACTTTATTCTATCAAAGGAGTCAATACAATAGTGGGGATGAATGTACACACTTTGATCAACAATTCCTCAGTCATTCATTTTCAGTTTTCTGAAAAAGCTATTGTTTTCCCCAGTATGCACTTACAGTTTCAACATACATAGGTGACATTTCTCACCTGCTTCCCTTCAGACCAACCTGTCTGTAACTATCATGTTCTGATAATATGGCTAGATCCAGGTAGTCAACTGTGTTGGTCTGAAGCAGCAGAACAGATTTAGAGTCCAGTGGCACCTTTAAGACCAACAACGGTTTATTTAAGGTATGAGCCTTGCACACGAAAGCTCATATGTTGAATAAACCTTTGTTGGTCTTAAAGGTGCCACTGGACTTAAATTTGATAATATGGCTGTCACTGATAGACTGGCATCTCTTATTTCTAATGATGAGCCATTATACTGATAGACTGGCATCTCTTATTTCTAATGATGAGCCATTATAAAAAAAAGATGCAGCTGTCTTAATGCCTCTTTGTTTTTTATGCTTTTGTTTGTTTTCAATATAAAAGTTCCCCCAGGAATTGTGGGAGAGAATAAACTGGAAGATGTGAAAGTGAAGGAGAAGCAGAGCGTTATGCTAACATGTGAAGTGACAGGTAATGTGTTTGGATTAATTACTCAATTTAGTAATAAACAAATGTTTATCTTGTGTGGTCCTTAATTATGTGATCCAGGGGTGAAGAATGTGGTCTGGATCGAGGGCCACATTGCCATCCTTACATATGAGTTTTGCAAATATGAAAACACTGATATGGTGGACACACAAATGCTAGCTTGACTAATCTGGGCTTCCAAAGACAAAGCAGACACAGGGGGAAAATGATATAGAGGCATTCTTATATTCCATGTTTCTTTCATGCCTTCTGGGAAACCTCTTTGCTCTGGATCCTGCACCTGGATGGCATGGACAATGGAGATGGTGGTCTGGGTTTCTCTAAGTAGAGGACAGAGTAATAGGCCCACATTGTAAGGGCACTGTAGTAAAGGTACAGTGGACAGGTTATGTCCATTATTTATTTATTTATTATTTATTAATTAAATTTATACCCCGCCCTCCCCCGTAGGGCTCTAGACCAGTGTTCCCCCAACGATGAGCCTAAGGCTATATAAATATTACTACTGTGCTGTCTAACATTCCAGTGCTGGATCCAAAGTGTGAACAGAACAAAACCAATAGGATGATACATTTCCTTTACATCAGTTACATCAGTCCACGATAGACTACTTATTCATTTACTGAAAATTTTTATATTCTACCTTCCCTCCCCCCCAATTTTGTGTCCCACCAAGGCCCAAAGTGATTTACAAAAGCTGATTTGTAGATTAGGAGCTAGTTTCCCTTTTTATCATTTACTGGACATCGATCAAACAGAAAACATGATTATAATTTATTTCCCTTTATTCCCTTTATTCATTCCAGTCTGTTGGTGACTCTTTATTTAGAACTAAATTTGATCTATATATATAATTTTTTTTTTGTTTCTGTACTGAAAAATTATAATGAAATTTTAAAATTTTCACTTTTTATTATTTATTTATTTATTATGAATAAATGTTTAAAAAGAAATCATCATAGATTAAAGATGAAAATGTTCACAACAATTTCCCCCCACAAATAAGGGAGTCCTGTACCAGAGATTACATGGTTAAAAGATGGGCAACCTTTCTTAGATGATGATGGCCATCACTTAATGTCCAATGGGCGTTTTCTTCAAATTAAAAGTGCACAAGTAGTGGACACCGGCAGATATACTTGTGTGGCATCAAATGCAGCTGGAGACAAGAGCAAGACCTTCAGTCTTAATGTACTTGGTAAGATTTACGAGCTAATTCATATATTTTCCTCCATTATTTTATTATAATATATTTATTTGTAAAACTATCTATCGAAGCAGCTCACGGGAATGAAAATCTGATGACATAGTTCAGTACAAAGCCTTCGCACCATAGAGCATTTACATTAGCCCATGTAAATGTTTTCCCCTCAAGAGTGCTCTCAGGTTGGTTTAATAAAATTCCCCTACATAAAAGGTTATGTTCTTGTCCTTTAAAATCTGTGGATTTAATGTCATATTATTTTTGACTGTCAACTTCACTCGGTTTTACACAAAATATTGTTGTCATTTTTATTTCCTCCTAATTATAGTTCTACTAAGGAAAAGGCTATTCAGTATTTATTAAAGGATGCTAATCCTAATATTACAGCTATAGTGGCCAAGTTTCTTGCTGAAGTGGCCAAAGTTAGATCTATGCTCCTAGAGGAATGATTCATATTGTTTACTCCGCTTTTAAATAACTACGCTGTGTTATTGTATATCTATGTTTCTTACTGTTATACCATTAAAGGTATTTGACTTTGACAGTTCAGTACAAAATCCTTGGCTTAGCAGGCATGGTGAAGGCCTGCATGAAGATTTCTTATCCTTCCTCTGAGGATGGATCAATGACATACAGAAGCTGGAGGGGGGGGTCCTCAACTGGAGCTGCTATGAAACACAGAGGAGGGCTCAGTTGTTTTCTGCCATCTCTCTGATGTTCCCATCATTGGCAGTTGGAAACTGGAGGAAGGGGTCTTTTAGCTGGAGCTGGATTTAGGCATAATAGTGGGGTACCTGTCAGTAAACAAATGCATCACTGTTTGCCAGGCTTTTAAAAAGAATGTTAGGAGAAGTCAAAGGGTGTTTATTGTATGTAATGTTGAGCAGGGAACACTAGGCAGGTGAGAAGCAGTCCACAGGTCTTCCTCACAGTGGTTTCATCCTAACTAGTAGCTACATATGAATTGCAACATGCTCTGCAGGCTTCTGCAACTGTAGGTCCCTGCCACACGGGACGGCTGGAACGTGGCTAAGCAGAGCCGCACCAAACTTGACACGCCGTGGTGGGATCCCACAGATCCCCTCAGCCGCAGCGCATTGCTCCCCGGCACGATCAGATGCTGGGGAGAATGCGACGGTGCGAAGGGGAGCCTGGTGAACTGCGCATGCTCACACATGCGCAGTTCGGCCAGGAGCCGGGGATGCGCCAGCGCAAGGACGCGCCGGCGATCCCACGGCCGCACTTGCCACGGCCCATCCGAAAGAACCACCTAGGGAGGTGGTTCTTTTTTGCTGCGCTGTATGGGCGGGATGGGACGGATCGGAGACGGAGATGGAAGCACGACGTTCCCCAGATGTTGCTGTGGGATCGCGCCCGTTTGCTCCAGCCTGATCCATCCTTCTCCCGGCCCAAATGGCTCGTATGAACAGGACCGTAGAAAGGTTTCATAGGAGCCCATGTTTCACTAAGCATAGAGAGGATAGGTCTGATGCTGGGCTAAAGTGGCACAGTAACACTGTGCTAGTTATGTTTCAGCTTAGTAGGGACTAAGTGCTATTTAAGGTGAGAAGTGTGCTCCACATTTTGAATCTTGGGAGTGCTGCGCATGTCATTTCTGTGTCTGAGAATGTGACAGAGAAAGGGGCACAAATATGCCCAATAAGAATTGCACTATTTTCTATTGACACAAAAAAGGCTGTTGACCTACTTGAATGGCAGTATCTCTTATCTTCCATATCAATGTATTCAGTCCAGGATTTTTTCTTAACTGGGTTTAAGGTAATTAATCAATAAAAACCCAATTGCCAGGTATACACTAGTATGTATGAACCATTTCCATGTTAAGTGTTTTCACAACATAAAAGCAGGAAAAAGTCTTAATGGTTGAACTGAAAATCAGGGGCAATACTCTTTTCCATTCAGTACTATTGAAGTCATCATGATTACAGGAGACCATAGAGGGAAACTGATATGCTTGTTAAGACCTAAACAGTCTCTACAAGTCATCTCTATTAGCATATCAAACTAACTTGAGTTACCATGTCTTTTGCTGAGTACATTGGGAAAAAAAATGCTTTTTCCTTGTGGTTGTTCCTTTTTTATCTTTCTCAGTATCCCCTAGCATCATGGGTACAGACAATAATGGAGGCACAGAAGAGATCACAGTTATCTTGAATAATCCCACATCCTTAGTTTGTGAGGCTTATTCATATCCCCCAGCTACAATCACTTGGTTGAAAGATGGAACTCCCATAGAATCAAATAGAAATATCAGGATTTTGCCAGGTAATTATTTGTATCCTTATATTAAATGAATTATAACCTGACATTCATGAAAACCTGTTTTACCTTATCCCTTGGGGAAGTCTGGGTGAAGTGCTATGAAAAAATAAAGAATGTTTCCATCTTCATATGTATGAATCTTTATACAGCTGTATTTATGCAAGACTAAAGCTTTGGGTATATGAAGTATAATGTCACTCATCCAAATAACTTTAGGAACTATCAAAATTGTTGTTTTGTTTGAAATTTGGTCCTACTTTTCATTGAATTGGTAAGTTATTTTGAAATGGAATAACTGAGGCACCACTTGCATACATAGGAATTCTGTGCCTAGATTTAGGCATGGGTATTGTCCACTTAAATTAGGGTGTTGGTATACACTATTAGTGTTCACCTTGTAGGTTATTATCTTGATACTGATGATGGTGCAATCTAAGATTAGATAAGGTTAAGAAGTCTTATGAAAGCAAGATTTAAAAACACACTGGGAATTTTGGCAAACTATATTTTTGAGCCCCACAACTGGAAACCTACCTTTTAAATTTAATGTGTGACATGGAAGTTGGACATTTCTGCTTTAGTCTGTGATGCGAGAACAGTTCAGGGATGTGGAGAGGTACCTTTTCCAAACGATCAGATAATTCTATTTTCAGGTATATCCTTATTTTGTTTTGAATCAAATTGGCATGATCCTTGGGTATGTTGTGGGTATGTGAATTGCATATATTTGACTCCCTGCTTGCGGTGAGGGTGATGATATGTAGCTGTCAACATATACATTACCTTTTGATGACGCTGTTAAACCATGTGGTTTGAGGGGATGCACAAAACTCTCATTGTTGTGTGTGATGGTGACTCTTAGTTGCTACAGGAAGGGAGCCAACAGGTGCAGAGATTTTCTTTGGCTGCCATCTTACCAATGGTCCTCAGTGCTGTGGTATATTTAACCGGAGAGTTAATCCAGCCCTGAAGCTTGACAAAAATAGTGGGGGTTCATGGCTTCTTCTCTTTCTAGCCAGCCTGAGCAGATCCACCAAAAACCTTATCCACCCTCCAAATATAATGTGTGTTGAAACAGTTCTTTCAGTGAGGTTCCTAGATGCTGATACATACACTATGTATGTCATTCCCTCTTACTTCAGGGGAAAACATACAGTGTTACCTTGAAAAAAACTTATTTTGCAGGTGGTCGAACTCTACAGATTCTGAATGCACAAGAGGAGAATACTGGTAGATATACATGCATAGCTACAAATGAAGCAGGGGAAACTTTAAAACACTATGAAGTGAAAGTGTATAGTAAGTACGCTATTGCTAATTTTTGTTATAATCCTGTAAAGATTAATTTGTCCTTTTTCTTCATAATATTGGCTCTCATGCTGTCACTTGGAATTTCTCTTGCAATCTCTTTTCATTGTATCAGGCCCTGGTCACACGGGAGACTTTGGCCCGGGAGAGGGATGGATTGGGGGCGCAGCAAATGGGCGCGATCTCACCGCAACATCTGGGAAGCGGCGCGCACCCGTCCCCGATCCGTCCCTAAACCCTGAAAACCCGCTGCAAAAAAGAACCTCCTACAGAGGAGGACTTACCTGAAGCACCGCTGCAAGCGCGGCCGTGGGATCGCCGCTGCGCCCATTGTCCGGATCAATCCAGGCTCCCCGCCGAACTGCGCATGTGCACACATGCACAGTTCGGCTGTCACGCTCTTTCTTTAGTGGCTTCCCCCCGGCATCTGATCGTGCCGGGGAGGAAGTGCGCGGCGGCTCAGGGGATCTATGTGATCCCGCCGCCGCGTCTCTCTTTTGGTGCGGCTTTAGAAAGCCGCACTTTGCCCATGCTATTCCCCCCCCCCCCGTGTGGCAGGGGCCTCAGTTTACTAGTGTATTCTTCTCTTAATTAAAGCTTTATATGCCCTTTGTTGTTGTTAGGCACATACCTCACATGCCCATTTGGGTAGCATTTACATTTAGGTCAAACTAGACACAGCTGGGGGAATACGTGGAATGACCTACTGACCTCTGTTATGATGTGGTTATTCTTTTAAAAAACATTGCTGTGGGAAGTGATGTTTTTGATGGGAGAAACTGTGAAAAGGCAGCCTAGTTACCTCCTTTCCACCTGACTGTGGCTGCCTTTTGTATTTTCATGGGTGTTGTGGCAGTTTCAATGATCGCGCTATTGGTGCGATCTGTTCACACTTACATGGGTTTTTTTTGTTTTCTCCATCACAGTTCTGTCTGTTCACATTAACTGTGCAATCCCTGTCAAAGTACATTCCCCACCCATGACACTACAACTGAGGCTCATTCATGGTATAAATATCTCACCTGTTATTGGTTGTCTCTTTCCTCATGTTTGAGTGGTCTCTTTGATTAGCTCTCCCCACTAAAATTTTGAATTCCTTTACCTGACTTGCATCAGGTACACAGCTCCAGTGGCATACCCAGCATATTTGACACCTGGAGCAGATCATTTTTTAACAACCCCCTTCTTTGTATGACAAAAGTGTCCAGGTCGGGGCTCAAGTGGGCTTACTCCTGATAAACTCAGTGGGGCTTATAAGTGACTAAGCGTGCCTGGAGAGGGGTGCTTCCAGGACGAGCCTGCCCCAGTCTCCAGTACCTGTGCCCTTTCATGGGAGAGAGGCCCCATGAAAGCCCCCTCCTCGCTTCACTCTGCTGAGCCACCAACTTTGAGCGGAGTGGTGGCTGATCTCCCATGAGAAGCTCTGCAGTTATGCACAAACACCCACACCTCTGTAAGGGTCTTTGGCCAAAAAATATGGTTTTATGTTTCCATGAGGTTCTGGGCTTTTGACACAAGGTAGTCCCACTGAACTCCTTGAAATTTGCTGCCGCCAATGCATGTATAAGTTAGATTGGGCTGCAGAGAAAATAATTGGGCAATGATTGGCAGCTGGTGTTGGACCTCCCCATGGGACTGACCAGGGGTCATTTTGGGGGGGGGACGCGGGGGGACGCCATCCCCCCGGGTGAGGTGCGGGAGGGCGGGGCCTGGAGCTCCCTGCTGGTGCCCGCTGGGGGTCGCCGCCGGCTGTGGGGAGGACACACTTCCGGTGATGTCAGGGGGTGTGGCATATGCTAATGAGTTATGCTAATGAGCCCCCCTAGCTCTTTTTCTACGAAATGACCCCTGGGACTGACCATTTGTTTCAGCACAGGCACCCTCCAGCACTGAAGCGTTTCAGCGCTGGCATGCAAATATTTTTTAAAATTTGCTGCCCCAAACCCGCCCTTTCTGGGTGGGTTTTGGGTGGCAGTCCATGAGGATGGAAAAAATGTTCAGATTCTGAGCAAGAGACTTGTAAATTCATTCCACAACGGGAAAAAAGTATGGGGAAAACTAGTTTAGGAAAGGGGGGGGGAGAGAAAGAAAGACCGGGACAGCACAAGGATGTTAACGAAGTTGTCTGGGCACAAGAAGAAAAAGGTAACATCGGGGAATGAAAATGAAACATTAAGGGAATCTAGAAAATGCCAGTGTGTGATTTCTTTGTTTGCTTTAACTATAAGTCAAACTACAGCAAAGTCTTTTGTTGTACATTAATTGAAAAATTGCTAAGGTGACCTGCAGCTGAAGGAAGTTTGCTCAAAAGTGAACCAAACCATGAGTTTAAAAAACTTATCTTCTGTAGTGCATATGACCATATGAAACTGCCTTATACAGAGTTAAACCATGGATGTAGTGATTCATGTATAGAATTTATGAGGCATATTTTCCACTCTCAAAGGGCCATGCAGGAAATAAAAAGAATTTCATTAAAAAATAACAAATCCACTAGGGTGACGATCTACTGAAGTTTGCCAGCTATCAAGCGGAATCAGTTGATGTGTTTTGAGAGTAACATGTTTTAGCTGGTGCTGACAGCTGTGTAAAGGGGGGGGGGAGCTGGAACGCCTATGGCAGTGAGTTACAAAGAATGTGCCTGACAAGTGAGAGCCCTTGTTCTTCCATGTATGTAGGAAAGGAATGAGCAGTGATGGGGAGATCTACATATGGGAGACGACACTCTTAGAGATATGCAGGGCCTAGTCCATCTAGTCCAGTGAAACCTGCTTTCCAAGGTGGACCTCCTTACTTAACAGCCTTTAGTCGCAAATGCAAGGGATGGAACCTACACACAAAGCACATGCCTTACTGAGCTAAGAGACTTCCTAGTTTCTCTTTCTAATGATAGGATGTGTTTCTGTGTTTAGCTATATTTGATCCATAGGCACTGTTTCGGACTGAAAACAAAAATGAATTATTAATTGCTCGTGGACCACAGTAATCTTGGAATAGCTTCAGGCCAAGCCTGATTGAAACGAAAGGGCCACTTGCGTGATGGAAGTGTTAATCTATACAGCCTTTGGAACATGTTGCAGTACTCATGTGTATGTGTATACACGCAATACATGAGTCCTTGCCAGGGGTCATTTCCTGCAGGTGCGCACAGGAGCGGAGCTCTGGCAGTAAAGAACCCAGGGGGCGGGCACATGCAACAAGCCCCACCCCCTGCTCCCAGCAGCCCTCAGTCAGAGCGAGAAATAGCCAGGTAAATTGCAGGGGGGGGCCAGCCTCCCCCACGGCCCAAAACAGTCCAGTGGCACCTTTAAGACAAAGTTTTATTCAGGTACAAGCTCTCTCTCCTCTGTGAGGGCAGATCTGCACATTCCCCCCCCCCCCAGCTAGCAATCCAAAACAGTCCAGTGGAGCCTGAGCGTTGGGTGTTGCCTTCTGACACACTTCCGGTGATGTCAGGGGATGTGGCACATGCAAATAAGTTATGCTAATGGGCTCCTGCACCTTTTTTTTCTACGAAATGACCCCTGGTCCTTGCAACTAACTGTGCTGACTGTACAGTTGCCAAAACTGGGCTGAATAATGGGGGTGTATAATCAGTGATGGCAGCACAGAAGAGGTCCTCGTTACCTTGAATAACCCCATGATCCTGGCTTGTGAAGGCTGTTCTTGTCCCCAGGTGCTGCATTTAAAGATGAAATTACCTTAGAATAAAATAGAAATGTACCCAACCATGTAGTTCCTCCAAGAGAAGGATATTGCCTATTTGTGGAACAGGAGGGCACTGATATTTGCCAGTTCCCCCTACTGCTGCAGACCTCAGTATTGCCCCCTGTGCTGTTCCTGAGAGTCTGCTGAGTCCCAAGAACAAAACAGGGGTGGAGGGGAGGACTTAGTGGCCTGCAACAGTAGGAGGAAATGGGCAGGACCGGCTTTGCAAAGTGAGTGGATGGCCGGATATGTCATGAATTCTGCCAGTTGTTTGTCTCTTCTTAATTGTATTGACTGTGAATCACCTGTTGATTCCCACTGGAATCTGAACTGTAACTTTAATGCATACCTAAGTAATCACACATTAAGTGCCAAACGCTTCACAGTGTGCAGTGTCCTCTGTGTGGACCCGCACAACCCACGTTTCTCAATGCAGCACTTTGCCTGTTTGAACTGGCCACACTGACTTCTCGGTCAGATCTGCAGAATGTCTATATACAAAGCACATTATGTAGCCAAGTGTATGTACCTGACCCATGATCCTGTTTCTAATGACCAGTTGCTGAGATGGGCTTTTGTGCAGAGCAGTTACCTGGCCCTGGTTTGGTCTTCCATGTATGTGTTCTCTCTGATAATGCAGTGGATGATAACTAAGTGAGAAACTGATGTTTCAGTTCTTGGGCCCTTTCTTTCTGTGCAGTCCCACCAATCATCAATAGAGGAGACTTATCAGGACTGGGCCCGTCGCCTAAAGAAGTGAAGATCAGAGTGAACAACAGTTTTACACTGGAATGTGAAGCTCATGCAATTCCTGCAGCTGGCATCAGATGGTACAAGGATGGACAGGCCAGTCAGACATTTCATTCATTTGAATAAGTGGTTTTAAAGAAACAAATAAGTTTGTCTACTACACACACACTTTCCCTTCCTTTCTGTCTTACAAACACGGGCTTAGATCCTGTGCAGCGTGAGTCAATCTGAGTTGCATAAGCAGTGACTTCCCCCCTCCCCTTCCAGCTGTGGCCATTTGCAGTGTTCCCTCTAAGCTGAATTAGTGTGAGCTAGTTCACAGTTTTTTTACCCTCCAGCTCACAAATTTTTGTCTTGGCTCAGGAAGGATGGCTCCAGAGCAAACTGATTTATGCAGCAGCCAAATTGCTTGCTCACAACTTTAATGCCAGTAGCTCACAAAGTAGATTTTTGCTCACAAGACTCTGCAGCTTAGAGGGAGCATTGGTCATTTGTACCCCCCCAGCACCTCTGTGGGTTAGTGGACCCCCAAGAACATCGTGGGTATTGAAGTGGGGGGCTGCAGTGTGTGTGTGGGGAGGAAGGGATAAGTGAAAATCTCCTTCCCACTCTTCCCCAGGCAGAAGTGGAAAGGGCACTTAGGATCTTAGCCACAGCAAGTCCTATCTCCTTCCTATGAAACTGGGATCATATTGCCAGAACCATTTAGTAGTAAAGGAGGGTGCCCATGACAGTTTGTTTGTTTTATTTACTTAATTTATATACCTCACTTTTCTCCCTGATGGGGACCGAAAGTGGTTTCCTATATTCCTTCTTTCTTCATCGTCACAACCACCCTGTAGTTTATGAGTGCTTCCATGACAGAGAGGGGATTCGAACCTGGGTCTCCCCGATCCTGTTAGAATCATAGAGTTGGAAGGGACCTCCAGGGTCATCTAGTCCAACCCCCTGCACAATGCAGGAAATTCACGAATACCTCCCCCTCCACACCCACAGTGACCGCTGTTCCATGCCCAGAAGATGACAAAAAACCTCCAGGATTGCTCCCTGATCCCAAAGTGACAATCAGCCTTTCCCTGGGCGTGTAAAAAAGGGCCACAAGAACTAAGCACTGAGGCAACCCGTCCTGCCCTCCCTCTCATGATCTGCCTAAGTTCACACAATCCGCATTGCTGTCAGATGGCCATCTAGCCTCTGTTGTTGTTGTTAGCAGGGCTATTTTTGGGCAGGAACGCACAGGAATGGAGTTCCGGCTGGCTCCCAAGTTGGCCACACCCAGCAGGAACTCATTAGCATAACAGGCCACACCCAACAGCAGGAACTCATTAGGATTGGCTACATTACGGGTGTGTGGCCTAACATGCAAAGGAGTTCCTGCAACAAAAAAAGGCCCTGGATTTTGACAGCAAACAAGGTAAACAGAATAAGAAGCAAAAGGTGGGTGTGGCTGGATGACCACACTTCTGGTAACATGGGAATGCGGCCTAATATGCGAATGAGCGGTGCAGTCAGGGGGTGTGGCCTAATATGCTAATGAGTTTCTGCTGCTGGGTGTGGCCTATTATGCTAATGAGTTTCTGCTGCTGGGTGTGGCCTATTATGCTAATGAGTTCCTGCTGGACTTTTTCTACAAAAAAAGCCCTGGTTGTTAGTCTTGCCATTAAGGGTTTTCAAGGCAAGGGATGTTCAGAATTGGTTTGCTATTGCCTGCCTCCAATATCCCTTGGTGGTCTCCCATCCAAATACTACCCAGGGCTGACTCTGCTTAGCTTCAGAGATCTGACAAGACTGGGCCAGACTGGGCCATCCAGATTCTAGCCCAGCCCCACTCACTACACCATGCTGGCTACCAATGTTTTGCAGTTGTGTAATGTTCCTCCTTGCTCTTCCTTGTCAGCGCTCTGGCTTAATGCGTTCTGCGGCTGTTGTTGCACTGGTTTACATTGGCATGTGGAATATTACTCTTGGCTGATAGAGTTGTATAGGTTCTGACATAAGTGCAAATCCCATCAACAGAGAACTGGATGCTCTAAGGGTTTTTTCTTCCAGAATTTGGCAAAAGCTAAAATTCCTAGTATTAAGAAGCACATTAATGGAAATGTCTTGTTTCCTTTGGCAAAGTAGAGGACAGAGCGTTAATGTAACTGTATTGCTTTCTTATGTTCTCTTTTTTAATGATTTGTAAGCAAACTATCATGAAGAATACCCTCAACGTTTGGACAGAAATGGAGGGAAAATGGACTGTAAAATCCCTGCTTATTCCATGCTTCTGGAAGACAAATGTGGCCTACTAGTCATGGGTGGTGCTTGCTTTTTTTGCAGCCTGAAAATTGGAGAGGAAAGGAAGGTGTTTCATGCACCTGCTTGGTTGGTTTGACCAAATGGATCACCAGTTGTGTAAGCCTGTTGTATGTGACACTTCATTTGCACATTTTATGCCATACTCATGTGCTGTTTTTGATCATTACATCACAGCCTATTACATCAGATGACCACATAACGATCCAAGCCGGTGGGCGCATCCTGCAAATAAAGGCAGCACAGATATCGGACACTGGCCGTTACAGTTGTGTTGCCTCAAATATCGCTGGAGAAGATGAGCTGGAATTTGATGTCAACATCCAAGGTACAGCTGCATGTGTGCCTGTGTGCATATGTTTGGAATGATAAGGGAAATCAAAGGATGAAATCTTCTGTACTCCTAATATAAGTTGAGCAGTTATCACTCTGTTTGTTAGGAAAAGAGGGTGTGTGTACTGGGAATAAGAATGGGAGGAATTAGAAGGGAAGGAGTGCTCGCCAAGGGGAAAGGGGGGCTGACCAAGTTAAGCAAACAAATGTCAGCTTTTTTCTATGGATCCCAAATCGCTGGGGGCTGAGGGCTGTGTATGCTCATGTTGTCTTGAAACATTAGCAGTAGAGAGTGGCATGAGCATATCTGTGTAACTCAATGCCATCTATGAAGAATTCAGCTGTGTGAGCCTATTGGATGGAAAACAACATTTAAATGAGCGTGGAACTGAATATTTGCCTATGATGATGCTCATAATCATTGGCTTGCTGGCTTCAAAAATTAAATCCAGTATTCCACATATACCACAGAAGCAGGGCTATTTTGGGGCAGGAACGCACAGGAACGGAGTTCCGGCTGGCTCCTGAGCTGGCCACGCCCAGCAGGAACTCATTAGCATAAAGGCCACACCTAACAGCAGAAACTCATTAGGATTGGCTACATTAGGGGTGTGTGGCCTAACATGCAAAGAAGTTCCTGCTATAAAAAAAGCCCAGGGTTTTGACAACAAAGTAAACAGAATGAAAAGCAGACGGTGGGTGTGGCTGATGACCACACTTCTGGTAACATGGGGTGTGTGGCTTAATTTGATAATGAGTTTATGCTGTTGGGTGTGGCCTATTATGCTAATGAGTTCCTGCTGGGCTTTTTCTACAAAAAAGCCCTGCACAGAAGCATTTGCATTAGGCTGTGGATGAACCAGAACCCTTGTTAACACAATTATTCATGTCCAAGTTTTGATGGTTCCCTGAACTCTTTGTAAGGAAAGCATTGCCTATGGCAGTTTCTACATATGCAGTATTTAGGCATTAAGCACGGACAGTGCTGGCTCTTCGCCTTGGAAACAGAGATGAGCAGCACACCCTAGAGTCGGATTCAACTGGCTTTCGAGCAAGGGAAACCTTTAGCTTTACCTCATCTCATTCTTGCCTGCCTTTCTGTTCTCTCTCACAGTACCTCCTAGTTTCCGAAGACTGTCCAGTGGCTGGGAAGACTGCAATGCTCTGGGTGTAGGGCAAGGAGGAGAACCAAAAGATGTGATCCTGAACAATCCTCTTTCTCTGTACTGTGAGACCAATGCTGTCCCTCCCCCAGCACTCACATGGTATAAGGATGGTTCTCCCCTGAGTTCCAGTGATAAAGTATTAATATTGCCAGGTTTGTACTAAACAAAGGGACTTACCTTAGTAAATAAAGGTCACATTTGATTAACCAGTAACCCTCATTCCTCATTCCTCATGAGTGCTGGATAACAAAGATTTTATTGTACGAAGTATTTACATTTTTATGGGTAATAATACCATTTTTATGGGTAATAATACAATTTTCCAGATTTTCCTTTAGCATTACACATGATTACTTATCTTTAAAAAATGGGGTGAGGTGAAAATATAAAGAACATTTAAATGAGACTGTGTGCCACGACACTTACCATTAGCTTTATGTGTTTTTGTTGTTTTAATTCCTTTCATTTATTAGCTTCATTGACCAGAGGTCTTAAGCCAAACATACAAACAGCTACTATAGAACACATCTCTCCCTTATAATAATTGAATAGCAACGTTCTATTTCACAACATTCTAAATTTGGCCCCTTTAGTGTTAGGCCGGAAAAACTGCCACTCAGAAGACACTGGCTGGGTTGACTGGCTGCTTTGTGCAGTCCCGCCCAGCATTCCAAGGTTATTTGCATATGGAAGCTGATTGGACTACACTCCATTCCACACCTCAAACTCACCCCCCCCCGCAAGGCAGTTGGGATTTTCAGTTGCATAACATACCTCATAGGGGAGAGGAGAATGATATCAGCTGCCCTTTCCCTAGGCAGAGGCTGGGGGGGTTGTAAAACTTAAGACAGACAGACAGATAAAGGTTGGCTGATGGTTGCCAGGAAAGGACATAGGGTTGCCAACTCCAGGTTGGAAACTTCCAGGATATTTTAGGGATGAAGCCTGCTGAGGGTGGGGTCTGAGGAGGAGGAGGAAGAGGGGGACCTCAGACAGATACAATGCCATACTGCCCACACTCCAGACAAGCTGTTGCCAGTCTCCAGGTGACAGCTGGAGAGATCTTAAAGCTCTGGTGCTAATTCAAATTGTTGCGATTTATCAACAGAGTAGTGTTCTGGAAAATCTTTAGGAATTGTTTGGTGCATTTACGATGGGGCTCCTGGGGAATTATTGATGCCAATCTTGGCCCAGCAGCCATCAAACCATTCTCTTCAACCCCCTGCTGTGCAGCTGACTTTCCCCTAGGGTTGCCAATCTCCAGGTGGAACCTGGAGATCTCCCA